CGACAAAGAGGGTCCACTTACCTCCATGACAGTAGCCCAAGAGCCTACTGTGACCCAATGAGTAGGGCTCACTTATACTGCATTACTGTTTTAAAAACTAGTATATGCACGTAGATGCTGCACAGAGAAATTTGAGAAAATATGTGCACCTGGATGTCCTGTAAAATGGAAAATATCAAAATGTGGTCCTTTTCTGTCTTCCCCTCTCTTTGACCACATTTACCCATCTTTTGTACAGTGTACTCCAGAGGGAGATGATGTCCCCCTTACAATATATAGCTTTACCTATTGCCAGGTTTGGATAAAACAACAGAATACAATGGTTAAAATGGTTTACAATTTAAAGGACATTTCCACCTTTGTAAATTATTTGTGATTTTTGTGGTAATGTAGAGGTGCAGTGGGGATGTATATGTGTGTGCATTGTCAGGAGTCACAGGGCTGTGTGTGTGTGAGGGAGATCTCCTGTCATTGTGTTCTGTATGTGTGAGGGAGATCTCCTGTCACTGTGTTCTGTGTGTGTGTGAGGGAGATCTCCTGTCACTGTGTTATGTGTGTGTGTGTGTTTTATGAAGAATCTCCTGCACTTGTGTCCTGTGTGTGTGTCTCTCAGATCTCTCCCTCTCCTGGGTCACATTTACTCTCTGCTGCTCCAAGTCCAGGTTCCTCAATGCCCCCCCACCATTCTTGTAATTTACCGATGACTGGGGTGCGGGGACACCAGAGAAGTGTGGGGTCATGAGAGATGTGCGGGGTCACCGGAGATTGTTTGGTGTCACAACCAGGGTTGTGCGGGGTCGTCGGAAAAGTGCAGTCAGCGTAGATTGTTTGTTGTCACCGGAGATGTGCGGGAACACTGGAAATGTGCGGTGTCACAAGAGATGTGCGGGATCACCGGAGAAGTGCGGTGTCACCGGAAAAGTGCAGTGGCCAAACCATGTGGCCAATAGAGCTGTAATGAACACATGTGGCAACAGAGCACAGCATAAGCTCACACAGCAATTTATACATCTGTAGCTTTAGTGGTTCTGGAGATGCAGGTTTATGAATATTTGCAAAAATTCTCGCAAAAACCAAGATGGCTGCCACATTATGTGACATGTGACCTTTACATTGCAATAAAATCTGCAGAGCACAGGGCTGTGCAAAGTTTAATGAGTTTTTGACTATCAGTGCACTTATTACAGGCATTTGAAAAAGTGGCAGAATAAAATTAATAATAAATATAGCTGCAAGCAGCAATGAAGGTGGCCAAGCAGTAGAGTTGGTTATAGCACATGAGAAGATATTGTAGTTAGAGAGATAAAAAGCACGTCATGATTTCATGAATTAAAAAAAAAAAATTAATTCAAAATGGCCACCGACATTGGTGACCTCTGGAAGCCATATTGTATTTGGCAGTTATGATGTTGAGTTATCATATGTATAACAAGTTTAACATACTGTGATAGGGATATGCATGTTTATGCCATTTGATGTAATGTGAAATTTGATATTCTTGTGGCGGCCATATTGATTTTGGGATCTGGCGGCTCTGGCCTGGTTTTACAACAGTGGTAGTAGAGCTCGCCCTGGATATATGTGGAAAGTTTTGAGTTATTCTGATAAATGGTTTCAGAGTTTAAGTTGTTTGCAGAATATTGCACCATCCAAAATGGCTGCCAAACTATGTGGTCACATGACTTGTAATAAACATATATGATTGCAGAGCTATGCATCTCCTTATAAAGCAATTTGTATATGTGTAGCTTTAGCGGTTATGAAAAAACAGATGTTTGAAAATTGTCAAAAATAGGTTTGCTTAAACCAAGATGGCTGCCAGAGCATGCGACCTATGACCTTTATGTTTCCAAGGTTTAAACACTGCACCGTTCTCTACTATTGGGCCAAATTTCATGAGTTTTTACATAACGGTGTGGCAATAATAAGCATTTGAAAAAAGAGCATCAGAATAATAGAAATATTTGTCGAATTTGACACAATTCAATATGGCCGCCGAACCATGTGACCAATTGACTTGTAATGATCAGTTGTGAATACAGATCATACCATGACTATACACAGCAATTTGTAGATCTGTAGCTTTATCAGTTTATGAGAAACGGATGTTTGAATATATGGCTGAACATAATCACCTTAAACAAGATGGCTGCCAGGCAGTGTGACCTATGACCTTTATGTTGCAAAAGTTTGGGCATAGCATAGAGCTGTACCATTGGTCCAAGTTGCATCAGTTTGTGAGTAACAGTGCGCTTATAACAGGCTTTTGAAAAAAAGGCCATAACAATAATAACACTATCTAAACACCATTGGCTTGCAGCGGCCATTTTGATTGTGGGATCGGGCCTATTTCTACAATCCTGGCAGAAGAGGTCGCCCTGGACATATGTGCAAAGTTTTGAGTTATTCTGATAAATGGTTTCAGAGTTTAAGTTGTTGACAGAATATTGCACAATCCAAAATGGCTGCCAAACCATGTGACCAATAGAGCTATAATGAGCACATGTGGCAACAGAGCAAAGCATAAGCTCACAGAGCAAGTTGTACATCTGTAGCTTTTGCGATTCTGGAGATGCAGGTTTTTGAATAGTTCGCAAAAATCGTCACAAAAACCAAGATGGCTGCCACATCATGTGACCTATGACCTTTATGTTATAATAAGCTCTGCAGAGGACAGGGCTGTACCACTGTGCAAAGTTTCATGAGTTTTTGACATACAGGACACTTGTTACAGACATTTGAAAAAGGCGGCGTAATAATAATAAATATAGCTGCAAGCAGCAATAAAGGTGGCCAAGCGGTAGAGCCGGTCATAGCACATGAGAAGATATTGTAGTTAGAGAGAGAAAAAAAGGACATGATTTTATGAATTATAATAAAATTCAAATTCAAAATGGCCACCGACCTTGGTGACCTCTGGATGCCATATTGTATTTGGCAGTTATGATGTTGAGTTATCATATGTATAACAAGTTTATCATATTGCAATAGTGATATAAATGCACATTTATGCAATTGGATGCAATGTCAAAAAGTGATTTGCTTGTGGCGGCCATATTGATTTTGGGAGCGGGCCTGGTTTTACAACCGTGGTAGTAGTAGTCGCCCTGGATATATGTGGAACGTTTTGTGTTATTCTGATAAATGGTTTCAGAGTTTAAGTTGTTTGCAGAATATTGCACCATCCAAAATGGCCGCCAAACCATGTGGTCACATGACTTGTAATAAACAAATATGATTGCACAGCTCAGAATGTCCTTATAAAGTACTTTGTATATCTGTAGCCTTAGCGGTTATGAAAAAACAGATGTTTGAAAATTGTCAGAAATAGGTTTGCTTATACCAAGATGGCCCCCAGAGCATGCGACCTCTGACCTTTATGTTTCCAAGGTTTAAACACAGCACAGTTCTCTACCATTGTGCCAAATTTCATGAGTTTTTACATAACGGTGTGGCAATAATTAGCATTTGAAAAAAAGAGCATCAAAATA